AAATGGAGAAATCATTGGGTTAACAAAGGGGTAACCATCCTTGAAGAAATCCTCAACCACTCCATTACAAAACAAAACTTCAGCAGATCGAATCAGAGGCAGTCGAGGCGGTGCTGCAATCAACATCACCACCGCTTCCTTGCAAATCGCAGCGGGGGAGGAGTGAGGCCTGGGCAGACAATACTGAGGCAGATGATGGGGGTGGGCGCGGCGGCGCCGATGTGATCGAGGAGAGAGGGGGAGATGGAGAGAAGAGACGATAGTGAGAGAAAGTGAGGATTGAAAATGAATTAGGTTTGGGGATGAAAATTGTATATTTAATATTTAATATTTAAAAATAAAATATCTAATTTTTAAAAAGTGAAAACTTTGATCTGATTTTTTAATATGGATCTTGAAAAGTAGGGTGTAGTTTAATTTCCACTATTACGAAATTAAATGTGTCAAAATGAATGAGATGGTCCAGGCTAACCTACCTATAACCAAGCCCAGTACACATTTGAACAAGCCCATTTAAGAATATGTTCGGACTAGGCCCATACCATATTCCGAAGTTGAAGACGGGACAGGCACAAGGACCTGCCAATATTGCAGGATGGGCCAGTCCAGCTCGTCATTTTTATTTTGATTTTTCAATTTTTTAAAACTTAATGGGATTTAAATTGTGTTGTAATTGCAAAAAATGTATATTAAATGAGAGATGGCAGATTGTGTGAGAAGTATAGAAGATAAATAAGTATTTATAGCTTAAAAATACAATCTTTAAAGATAAAAAATCATATATTAGAATTTAGAATAGATTTTGACGGGGATTTTGACAGCCGAGAATAGGTCCTCTTGCCCTACCTTCCCACAGACTTACTAAACCACCACCAACGACAAGAGAAAGAGTTTTTTCCAAGAAAAGAGAAAAGATAGCCATGAAAGTTAGCCTAGCCTAGCAGAGAGGGAGCGTTGGATTGGATTATTCCTGCTTTCATATCTTGAAAGTCGTATCAAGGACAAGTCTTTGTTTACCGAGCTCGAGACTTTTTTTATTTAAATAGGTGATTTATGTGTGTGAGGCTTTAGATGGAAACTATGAACAAAAATGGAAGTGAACTGAGAATGAAAAGTTTTAGAGTTATATGTAAGGAAAAAAAATGTTTAATCAAGGATCAAAGTGCCACCGAGGCCAAACATTGGGGACTGTATGTTCAATTTCCTTTCAACTTCCATCAATTTTTCTATTTGTTCTTGCAAAAATTTAATCCAAAGTATAATTCTTGATTGCTAAACGGGTATATATAGAACTTTTAGTCAAACGGAAGCTATGTTATAGATCACATTTTGTGTTTAATTTTTCTCTACTCTCACTTTTATTCGTAAACAATGGACACATCTCAATGAGTATGCACTTGTCGAGTCGCAAGCACACTTCTAGCTGTGGAGTAGAATCATCCGCCATGACGCCATCCCCTTTCTGGTGTTCGTAAATTTTTACTGGAGTCTATTAGATTGATCTCGTGAAAACAGAACATTGTTTCCACCATCGCAATGCCTTCAACCCTGGTAGTGTGTTTTGCTGCATAGGACTACAACTAAAATAAAATCAGTTATGTAGGCTCTTCACTCGACGATGCTCACCCCGTCCACAGTAATTTTTGTCGGCAAAAATAAAATGAAATTCGAAGCGTAATAACAGATTTTTTAAAGTCCAGAAATTTATTGAGAATAAGATTTAGTTTGTTGTTATTGTTTACATATCGGGATTATGCAAATTACACATTCAACATTGAACTCATTTAATTTGCTTGTGTTTCTGAGGTTGAAACACAACTCTACCCGGTGCTTTTCAAGAAAGGGCAGGTTGAAGATGTGTCAATGGTAGAAATTTCAGAGGGATTCGCCTTCATAAGACCTCCAAGCAATTCTCCACGGTCATAAAAGAACTCAACCTTGACAATCTTCGATTGTTCATCCAACTGTAATTATCAATCATGCCATAAAATCAATCCCAGATTAAAGAGTTGGAAAGGAAAAATAAAAAGAAAATATTTCAACGACTAAATTTAACTATAATATATGTAATAGTTTAAGCTCTTAGTGAGGCGGTTAAATACGGTATCAAAACTTTTGGGTTAAATATGGTGTCAAAGCAAATAGGAGTTTTTGGTTTCGTCTCACCAACTCTTAAGTTGTGAAAAGTGTGCACGTATCAGGCTTTTAATGAAAAAAATTATGTCAGTCTGTACATAATTACATGATATCTAACAGCTTAACATTTTAGATTGCGATTGAACTAAAGAGATAAAAAAAAAAAAGATAAGTGTATTTTGTTTCCATGGTACCTCAAAAATGGCCATGCCAAATAACTCAACCATTTCTCCAGTTGGTGCATATCCTTTGAAAGGACCCTCCATGAAACCCCAATGCCTGAACTTGTATACAATCACCGGTGGCCCCGAGTAGACCTCCAGAATCTCCAGTGCAAATCCACGAGGAAAGGCTGTGGTAAAAGCAAGGTGAGATGAGTCCACGGTTTCCTCAGCCGGGTTGTATCCCCGGAACTTCTGTGGCAGGGATGTTTGAAGGAGGGAATTGTAACCTCCTCCAAGCTTCCTCTTCTCTTCCAGGGTGATTCCTTTCCTTCCTAATAATTAAGTATGATACATACAAATTAAAAGCCTAATAGCATGTTTCTGACAGTGGACTAAGCAATACTAACAACATTAAAAATTATATTATCTAGTCTTGTCTAATACTACACACAAAAAAGATTACCAGAATTTTAAACACAAACCATAGAAGCTAGGACAAAATATGATTACCGTTTAGACTGAACCTATACTTGATTGGATCCACTGTTTTATAGTCGTCAAAGTTCACTTTGTGGAACATCTCCATTTCCCAAGTTTTCACAAGGTTCTGCACCTTTTCTTCAAGTGAACCAGCAGGCCATGTCTACAACACATAAACATGAATATCCAGCATTTTATGGTTCAAAAGATAATATATTTCTCAACAGCTTTCCTTCTATTCTGGGATCGCATTAAAAAAATTCTTATCGAGAGTCGAGTTTTCGCCAAATTATTTGCAACCAAAAAGTCATTAAGTAGCAGGTGAATTAAGGCTTTTGGAGAGTAAATAGTGAGTACCTTAGTTTTGCCTTGTTCGAAGAGCTTGTTAACAACATCATAATTAGGAGCAGAACCATATCTCCATTTTATGTTATTCACTTCATCTGATTCATTCAAGTAGGATCTGTAATTGTCCCTTTCAGAGCTTGCCATTTCTTTTGGCTAATTGAAAGACCTTGAAATTATGCCCCGTTTCGTTTAGCTAAAGAATTATATATAAAAATCTAAATCATAGTCAACAATTAATTTTAACAACACATTTCTTAAATCTCACAACTTTTAACAATTTTATATTCGCACATTCTATATATTTTTATTAAGATCTACTAAAAGTATGGCTTTTAGCTTAATCAAACACAGAAAATGGGAATGTCAAATTAGGTGGCTGTCTTTTGTATACAAGTCATTTTTTGTGGTCTTTTTTCTTTTGTTTGAGTTCTGTTTTTCGGGAGGATTTTGTAAGAGCAATGTTTTGAAGAATGTGTGATTCAGAAGTTGAAAAGAAAATTTGAGTTTACGTGTAAAATTATTTTGCCCTTGTTTGACAACCATGCTTTTAAAACTCTTTTTTCTACGTACTCATTTTCAATCACATATTTGCACAGTAAAATTTTCTGCACGTAAACTCAAAACTTTTTCTTACTTTTTAATCACGCATTCTTTTAAAAACCATTATTCAAAACTCTAATTTTTCACAAGTATGTTTGTCAAATTGGAGCTTTACCGGGTGAACGAGTATAAATTCAAAGAGAAGAATTTTTAAAGAATATGGCTCGTGGAAATAAAGTTGAATGGGAAAATGTCAAATTGGGTGGCCGTCTTTTGTCTACGAGCTGTTGTCATTTTGTGGTCTTGTTTCTTTGCCATTATTATTAGGTAAAATTCTTTGAGAAAGCATTTTAAATATGAATTAATCCAAGTGTACAGAAATGACGTTCACAGATATTTTACCTACCTCTCACATGAGGTGGCTCCCACGTCGGACCGATCTGATTAAAAAATAGTTCAATTTTTTTCCCGCCCTCCCGTTGTGTGTTGTTTGTTCGCAGAACCTCTGTACATTCAGCATGGTTGTTTAAATATTTAGAAAAATGGAAAATAAATAATAGCAATCAAGTTGACTTAACTTTCTGAAGAACCTTTACATTTTCTTTAGGAAGAGAGGTAATTTTGTGCATATCTTTAAGAAAGAAATCACAAGGTTAATACAAGTTTGACGAAGAACTATGATATGAAGTGAAATTATTAGTATGCATATTGGTCAAAAAATGTGAAAATTCCCCAATTTCATAGTGTTAAGAAACTTAAAATTAAGATAAGATGATAAGATTCCCATACTTCAAATTTCCCAAGAAATGAGTCACAAGTGCCTAGTCCCATTATTCAATGATTAAAGAGGAGACTGAAATTTATTTTTTTCCACTCAGGTCTCTTAAAAGTTAAGAGGTTGTTCTCTTTGTATTTCAGTTTGTGTTTTGAATTCATTTTGAGTTTTGTGTTTTGAATGTTCATTTTGAGATTGTTGAAAATGTGTTCTTTTTGGCATTTTGAAAAATTGTTTTGAAAACACCCAAAACGTGTTTTCCAAAATTTTGGTTTGATTATAACTGAAAACACCCAAAACGACAAATTTTGACTTG